CCTCTCAACACTGACAATAAAACCACTTTCTCATAGGAATTTGTGGCAATCCCAGAAAACACGCTTCAAGGTGGCTGGAATATTTGATACTGTGGCCGTGTCCGAAACAGGCTTCCAGAGCTACGGCTAGGTCTATTGTCTGCGCGTCTCCACATACTTTCAATGGAGTGAAGACCTAGACCTAGCTCTAGACCACAGATTCGGATGCAGCCTATGATGAGAGTAATGTTACTGTTAATACTGTGAAATTCTAAAATTACACTGATGCCATGTAGGCCTACTGTGATTTGGGGCTTGTGCATTTTTCTACAGCGCCATAGTAACACTTTTACTCTCGAGTGCCTGCTCACGTCGAGCATTTATTCCCTTCTTGGGCTGCGTTTGCATGTGTCTAATGTCTGGTAGTGTATTGACCTATCTTCCGCCTGCATGAACCACGTCATACACTCATCACCGCTTGATCAGGAGTGTGTTCTTGCTTATTTGCGCGCAAGTTATACTCCTGCCGTTTCTAAACTAAGGAGAATATCATGAAGAATTTCTGAACTCTTACCTAAAAGACTCAGATACATGTAATGGCTTCCACCAATGAACGAGTCCATTATTAAAATTTCCTTGCCGTCTGCAGTTGACAGGTGTGCGAAGATCATTACGACCGCCAAGTAGATTATTACTAGATGTTTCATGATTTTCTCGGAATAGCACCCGATAACGCTCGCTGTCACAGGGAATGTACAAGATATTATAGGATTAGCTGATCTCTTTAATAGGAGTGGCGGGGATTCGACGGGGACAGCACATTTTGCAAATAGAACCAAAATGATAGGAAAGATTTCTGTCGAAATAAAGGTCCCACCCAGGTACCAAGATAATAACATCCATGTCTGTTGTATCACAAACTCATCTTGCTGGTATATATGCTTACTGTTTCTTTTAATGATTGATTTCTATTCAAGAGAGGCTTTGCGTGGCTGCGATCTTGCAGGGCAGTTTCTTTGTTCCACAGGGAAACTTCCTTATGCAACAAACGCACTGGCGTGGAGGCAGCAGTAATGCAAACCCTTTATTCGATATTCTGTGATGTTCAATGTTTGGCAGCCATGCAGTCACCAGAATCGACTTTCGGTCTCAATTTCAAGCAAATTTTTTGCCATTATGCGACAGTTGCCCTTGTCTTGCTAAGACCACGCCTGAATTGAATTGGATATTTTTTATTTTTGAAATATTACGATTTAATTAATGTAAAACACAATTCAAAATAAATTTACCCTTTGCTGCTGACCAACTCGATCTTGTGTACTTCGTATCTTTGCAATACCCGCAGCATGCCGTAGTGCTAAAGCTAATCACACATCTCACTGCTTATGAAGCCTAACAACACCAAATTAACACTCTCGGTGGCAAGCAATACCGTGGTATTATGCACGGTGCACGCGATGGTCATGCCGTAACAACATGTTGACATAATAATCCAACTTCGCTCGTCGTCCAGCGCCCGAACAGGGCGATGGGAAGGTTTGATGGCATTGCACAGATTTTAGTGAAGGAAATACGTCACACGCAGTCACAGCTAATGACGCGCAGAGAACTGAGGGTAAATTTCTGCCAAGTGCGCCATCTCGCTCAAGTACTAGTAAATCTCCCGCTGAGAAACTTCATCTATTAGGCCTTCATCAATTTTCTTTCTGCCTTTAAACACAAGACTTCCTTTCTTAAGACCTTCATGCTGATTGAATAGAGACAGGCAAAGTTTACATTATTTGTGATTTGACAGGCCTAAGGGTGACCAACAACATCTCAAGGAGTGAAAACAGACAGAGAAAATTGAAAACGGGCTAGCACAAATGATGATGGAAAGAGGTATTTTAAAGGTCTGCATGGTAGAAATTTGATGAAGTCTGTGGTAGCACCATGTAAAATTCTTCTGAAAATGGACAGACCACGCAAATATTGGGGGCACCGGTCTTTTCAATATTTTACCCCACTCACAGCAAACAGGAATTATTTCTCCAAAGTTGGTTTGTAATGATTCAGCCATCTTGTTAATCGCTAAAGAACACCGTGGGCATCTACATGTGTAACTACTAAGCAGCTTCCCAAAACAATCGAGATAAAGAACTATAGAGGTGAACAAATGATTTGTACGAACTAACATTCTCAATCATTATATAAATTAGCATTCACCCAAACATACTGAGATAAATGCTAAGATACTGTACGTATATTTACAAAATATTGGCAGGGGAAAAAATGAGCTACAACTCAAAAGGGAAAGATGTTCCAAAAAATGTTCAAAAAAAGCACATTCTGAAATAGCCACCTAATTATCGTGGCTGACTTCCGAATCTAAAGTTCATGTCCTAAGTGACTGTGTTTCACATGGCACCAACCAGTACCGTCTTATTGCAGCTTCCCGTGCTGATTACCATTTGATGGGAAAGTGGCTGGCATTCTGCTCGAATCCCGAGACAAAATTATGCATGCACCATCAGGCATGCCATGCACCATCAGGCATACCATGCACATGAGAGCAAGGTGCCGGTACCTGTAGTTTTTGTGGGCACCTGGTGTGCAAGAAACACTTATAAAATCTCAGGACGTCTGCGAGTAGTAAAACTCTTCTGGTACGTGCATTCGTAGCCATGTGCCACATGAACTGGTACCGATGTACATGCACACAACCACTCAGACAGCCTCGTGTAACATCATGCGTTGCAAGTGGTGCGCTAACTTGCTACACAAAGCGTGGTGGTGAACATGCATGTATATCTACCGGTAATTAGTCTTATGCAATAACAACTACCAGGACAAATGTACAAGTGTGTGGGACTGTGTATTTTTTGGCATTCCCTATAATACCTAGCATAAATTTTATTGTTTGTAAATAATATTGACAGAGTAGAAGCACCACATGCACATACAGCCTGTAACTGCTGTCTAAATGTACATGTACATGTATATGGACATAATCATGTACATATACATGTACGTGTAATGGAGTCTTGTCAGTACATGAACATTTACCCTAGATGCAAAATCTTCCAAATGCCAATGCAGCAGCATTCAATGGAGATATCAAAAAAGAAGAGGTACGAGTAAATCCAAGTCACAAATGAATTTGGCAAGTCAGAAGTCCTTAAGTCATGTTTTTGGATCGCCTCTATCGGATGTGATGACTGACAGCTGACGGACAGTAACAGTTTCTTAAGGTTTTAGATTTATAAGCTTTGCTGATACATTAATTTTGAGCAAGTTTGGTTTTATATTTTCAGATTCGTTCCATCAAGTTTTATTTTCGTTCTACATGTATTACTTTCGTCGTATATTTATTGGTTTGCGTTTTATGTTTACCTGTTTTTGATAATACATTTCCACAAGTTTGGCTCTATATTTTAAGATTCGTTTAATATAGTTTTATTTTTGTTCTATATTTACAGTTTTCGTCTTAAATTTATTAGATTTGGTTTTATTTTTATTTGTCCTGGGTCATTTATTTCTACAAGTTTGGTTATATATTTTCAGATCCGTTTTTACAGTTTTATATTCGTTCTATATTTATAACATTCGTTCCATATTCATAAAATTTGTTTTTAATGAAATCAGCGCCACCAATGTTGCAACGTTGCAGCATGCATCATCACGCACAGACTTGTCGTATCATGCGGATATCCGCGTACGAGCACGAAAAATTAACCTAGATGCCAAAACTGTCTACTATTCTTGTTACATGTACATCATAGAGCTATGTATAAAACTAGAGCGCTGACTTATGTACAAGGTGATGTCTGCTGGGGCAGGCACGTCCAATTTTGTGCACAAACCAATGGAAACCCCGAAACTTTGTACGGCTCTTTGCATATCTGCGGCTGTATTCTGAAAGATACGCCAACAAAGCCGACACGAAAACAACCTTAACAATTAGTGAATGAGCGCTTCATTTTGTTCTGTGCCAAAAAACGCAAACGCGTACGTCTATGCGCTGCACAAGAAATTTGCCGTGATTTTTTTAATCGGATTTTACCCGTACCCAGTGTGCATGAGAACCGCTGCTCCAGAGCTTTCAACTCACTCAATACTGACTGAAGTAAGGAACGATTTTTTTTAATTTAGTTGAATTTATTCATCGATTGAGCCATTGAGAAGACATGCATACGAAATGGGACGACCTTGCTCGAATGTTAGGGAAACATTCGTTTAAAATAATCAGCTACAGATGTACATAAGCATGTGCCATTCATAGAGCTGTGGCTGTGGCTATATGGTGGCCCTTTAGTGCCATTGTTCTACACGTATGTGTAACCGCCAACTGTCACAGGGATTGTCCACACAAAAAGCTCAGTTTGATGATCATGATTGAAGTGATCTTTATCTGTGATTTGTCAACGCGTGTCACAAATAAGGTGTTTCTAATTTAAAAGCAGGTACCATGTAGCATGATGTGACTTGATGTACCGTTGCATGGCTCAACTACAGACAGATTGGAAAACAACTAATTCTGAGAACTGCGCACCTTCTGGCTTAGAAGGACAGCGCCCTCAGACAACCAAACATTCTCAATTAAAATTAATACAAGTGCAAAGTTCTGTCCATAACCGCACGCGTCTTATTCAACAGACAGAGTTGCTGACTCCAGTCATGTCACTTGGACTCGAGTCGGACTGGAGCTGCTATTTTTGTGACTTGACTTGGTCTTGCAAAAAATGACTTATGGCTTGACTAATTGGACTTGCAAAAAAATGACTTGTGACTTGACTAATTGGACTTGCAAAAAATGACATGTTACCAACCCAAGTCAGACGCTACTCGACCGGCCCCATATATTTTTAGTTAAGCTATCCAGTTTACGCCTTATGTGCATAAAAAAACGGACTTCGGCTTCCGCGGCTTCGTGCTGCTACGTTGCTTTGCGTTGATGCATGACTAGGATAAACAGCGCCCCCAATATGTCATCATCACTTCATCACAGGTTGCATTACACCAAATACGAGCAGATAGAAAACAGTGCAAAATCGGACCGAAGTAGCGCCGCCTGTTGACTCTCGTGAAGAGGTTGGCCTCCGTTTTTTTTACTGGAAATCAAGATTATGGTCATAAGATCACTTTCCGTTTCAATTTCATGAGGGTTAGCGACGAAAATCTTTTTTTATTCGCCTTTCAAGGAAGATACCCCTAAAACAGCAGTAAAACTAAGCGCTCATTTCTGAATGTAACTGCCCCCCTCTATCCAAAACAGGTCCACAATTTGGGGCTTTTTATGAAAGAAATACCCCAAATTTTCTATCTGGTTAGGCCTACAAGCGGGTTCTTGCACGCGTTCTGTGTGTGTGCAAAGACCACACTCGCCGCAATCCGGTTCGTAAGTGTGACGTCACTTCAGTTGAAACCAC